AAATACGTAGGGTATCGTCATACTGCCCCACCCTGCTCAGCTTGCCCTCGGATTTTTTTGCCTCACTGCTCCAAATCAGAATCGGATATCAAATCAAATCGTTCCAAATCCAATCGGAAAAAAAGAAAATATCAAACCAAATCAAATGAAATTGAAAGAAATACAAGTCAGCGGCGGTGCTTGGCGCGCAGTGCCGAGGAGGCTGAGATCACCGCTCGATGCGGACAACGGCCTGTTGCTGCAACTAAACTCGAACTCGACCTCGCGTGGCCTGCGCGAGGACTCGTGGACCGCCAGGTTTGGGTCCAACGCCACTGTAAAAATAATAAGAGCAGGTACAATAACAGTCTAATTCGACTGCCATGACAGTCATATGCTCATAAAAAGGAGAGAGAAAGCTATGCTTGGCGCTGGTTTCGTCGATCAGCTCGTCACGCATGCCAAGACGCTTTCTCTACGCAGAGGTTAACTCTTCCCTTCCTTTCCTTGTATATTGAATAAAAAACAATATTTAGACTATAGAAAGAGACTAATTGTTATATGTGCAAGACTCTAAACTTGTCTATTGATGACTTGGCTTGGCTTATAGACAAGTTTTATTGAGCTTGCTCTGAAACGCGCTCTCGCACATGACCCGATCCGGTCCCAAACCTAAGACCCGTGGGGCGAAAAAAATACACCCCTGACTTAGCATACAATTGCGCCTTGTCGCTAGCGATGTGAAGCGGAACAATTTTGTATGGTTGGAGAAAGGCGGAGACAACTTTATATTTTCTACATAAATAGATTTATAAACTTATGTTGATGTATTTGTACGTTAAATTCGTGATCCTCGTGTAACACATGGACATATATCTAGTGAAATATATACGTGCCTTGTCGAAAAAGTTTTCGGTCCATTAAAAAAACTAGATGAATTCCTCGTGCGTTGCCACGAGATTTAGAGATGAAATTACAATATGAAGGATAAATACTAAAGAGGTACATTATTCTGTCAAACTCATCCTAGACATACGAAGCCCAAAGTCTGCCTACAAACACATGCGTGAAAAAATTTCATAAAACCGAGTTTGACATAGCTGTTATAAAAGTGGAGAAGGCAAATCAATGCATGGTGCTGGTGGAGCATTTTGGTTGGCCTTAAAGGGAAGTGGGAGCGGTGATAGTATTGTTAATGGGAAAATATTATTTTTGGTGAAAGCTGAATTGATTAATGATGGGGAATTGCATCTCGTCAATTTTGCATGAAAATTTTGTAATGTTATTATGACTGTAGAACATTTAAATATCAATTTGAAAACAAAGAACGAATGAAAAAAAATGAGAAAATGATTGACTGAATTGCCTTGTCTTGTGCACGACAGGCAGTGGCTTGCTCAATGTCTATCTATTCTTTCGGTAACCTTCTTGTCGGGGACAATACTAGGGTATCCGAAGACGAGGAGTTAATGATCATCAACATTGATTCATCCGAGCAGTCAAGAGCGCGACTACAGCTCCAACCGACCCCCGGGCGCGCAAGCTCCGCCTCGCCCGACCTCTGGGGGAGGACTCCGCCTCACCCGACCTCTGGGGGAGGGCTTCACCTCGCCTGACCCCGAGGCCACGGTGAAAGGTCCTAATATGGCTAGAGGGGGGGTGAATAGCCTATTTAAAAACTACAAATCAACTAGAGCAATTTGATTAGTAAGACAAATAGCAAAGTGCAAACTTGCTCTAGCTCTACAAGGGTTGCAAGCCACCTATCCAACAATTCTAGTTGCAATGATCTATTTGCACACAATCTACTTGACCATTACTCACTAAGAGCTCTCACAAAGGCTACACTAAAGAGCTCCACTAGATATGTTTAAAGCACAAGGCAAGCTCTCAATTCTAATTACACTAAAGAGCTTGCTATATCTAGTTCTTGAAATGTAAATGAGTAAGTGAGGCGATTATACCTTGGTCGTGGAGTGAACCAATTACACGATGAATATATAGCCAATCACCGGGGAATGCGAATGACAAGAGACAACCAATTTTTCTCCCGAGGTTCACATTTGCCAACACGCTAGTCCCGTTGTGTCGACCAACACTTGGTGGTTCGGCGGCTAAGAGGTGTTTCACAAACCTCGTCCACACGATAGGACACCGCAAGAACCGACCCACAAGTGAGGTAACTCAATGACACGAGCAATTTACTAGAGTTACCTTTTGGCACTCCGTCGGGGAAGGTACAACTCCCCTCACAATCACCGAAGGCGGCCACGAACAATCACCAACTCGTGCCGATCCTTCACCGCTGCTCCAACCGTCCAGGTGGTGGCAACCACCAAGAGAAACAAGCGAAATCCATGATAAGAACACGAATACCAAGTGCCACTAGATGCAATCACTCAAGCAATGCACTTGGATTCTCTCCCAATCTCACAATGATGATGGATCAATGATGGAGATGAGTGGGAGGGCTTTGGCTAAGCTCACAAGGTTGCTATGTCAATGAAAATGTGCAAGAGAGCTCCCTTGAGCCGGCCATGGGGCTATAAATAGAGCCCCAATGAAATAGAGCCGTTGTACCCCTTCACCGGGCATAACGCGGGGTGACCGGACGCTCCGGTCCGATCGACCGGACGCTGGCCCTCGGCGTCCGGTCACGTGATTCACGCCACGTGTCCCCGCTTCAAATGCTGTTCGTCGATTTCAACGGTCGCATGGAAAGTTGACCGGACGCTTCGTAAAAAGCGGTGACGCTGAAGCCCCAGCGTCCGGTCGTTTCCGAGAAGCTCCCGAGGCATGATTTTTCGACCCGGACGCGTCCGTCCACCTTGACCGGACGCAGCCGGCGTCCGGTGCTCAACCCTAGCCATCGTATCATTGAAAGTCGGTATGACGGACGCAGCGATCGGCGTCCGGTGCTTATACGGATTCAGCGTCCGGTCACAGGACCGACGCCAGCATCATTTCGATCAACTCCATTTCAACTCTTACTTCTTCACCCTTGCTCAAGTGTGCCAACCACCAAGAATTTTGCATCCGGCGCAATAGAAAATAGACATTTCATTTTCCCGAAAGCGCCGAATCCCGCCTCGCAAGCTCGACGGGAGGGAGAGAGGAACCCAAACCCATCTCAACCCTGCAAACACCTTGTGCACATGTGTTAGCATATTTTCACAAATATTTTCAAGGGTGTTAGCACTCCACTAGATCCTAAATACATATGCAATGAGTTAGAGCATCTAGTGGCACTTTGATAACCGCATTTCGATACAAGTTACACTCCTCTTAATAGTACGGCTATCTATCCTAAATGTGATCACACTCACTAAGTGTCTTGATCACTAAAACAAAATGGCTCCTACATTTTATACCTTTGCCTTGAGCCTTTTGTTTTTCTCTTTCTTCTTTTCCAAGTTTAAGCATTTGATCATCACCATGCTATCACCATTATCATGATCTTCGTTATTGCTTCATCACTTGGAGTAGTGCTACCTATCTCATAATCATCTTGATAAACTAGGTTAGCACTTAGGGTTTCATCAATTAACCAAAACCAATCTAGAGCTTTCACACGGGCTCCGCCTCGCTCGACCCCAAGGCTGCGAGCTCCGCCTCGTCCGACCCTTGGGTTCGCGCTCCGCCTTGACCGGCCTCTGGGGGAGGGCTCCGCCTTACCCGACCCCGAGGCCCCGAGTTCCGCCTCGCCCGACCCTTGGGTTCACGCTCCGCCTCGCCCGTCCTTTGAGGGAGGGCTCCGCCTCGCCCGACCCTTTGCGCTCCGCCTCGTCCGACCCTTGGGTTTGCGCTCTGCCTCTGGGAGAGGGCTCCGCCTCGTCCGACCCTTGGGTTTACGCTCCGCCTCGCCCGACCCCTAGGCCTGGGGCTCCGCCTCGCCTGACGGAGACCCATGCCGCCACCAACCACTTCAGGTCCAAGTGTATGGCCCTGGGTCAAAGCTTTGACATCAGGGAGGCGACCGGCACACTCCGATATAACCCGTGGTCAGGACAGGCATACCCGAGGATTAACATCAGGAACAGCGTCGGGCATACCGGTGCTGTTCTGCCTAACCCTCGTATGAACACTGACAGGTGCGTCGGTGGATCTCGCTTGACAACCATTTTGCATAAAAGCTTTAATGAAACAAGAGCATAATTTCAATTTTGAGTTAAGCAGCAAGTTACCAATATTAAACCTGTCATCTAGATTAGCACCTGTACTAGAGCAAGCACTTGATTAGAATCCAAACATTAGTAACCATATCCGGTATAACGTTGTAACATCATCATCATTATAACCATCAAGTTCAATTAGGTGCTTCTACGTTGCCGCTGCTTAGTCAAGTTCTCACTATCCGGGAGAGACGGTGACTCGAATCGATTCCTACCCAGCTGGGGAATTATTCCTAACACACACCCAAGCAACCTGATCAGTGGTCGCCTCGGGTCACCTTTGGTACAGCTCAGGAACTAAATTCGCAGGCCCGAGCAGCACCGCACTCTTAGGGAGTCCACTCTGCCAGGACATCAATCTACCCGCGGACTTATGCCAATGGCTCCCCGCACATCCTTACTACCGCTAGAGTGCGCACTTTCACTTTTTGGCTTCCGGCCTAAGTTGAGCTACTCGGCTTCACGGTCGGAACGAGTTATCCGGCCAACTAAGTGATAGGCATGCGTTCAACATGACATGAGGACGTAAAGCGAATCGGTCATTAACCGACACAGACGGGGATAAATCCAGACCTAAGACCTCCATGCTTTGTTGTTTCTCTAATGACATCCCGCCCGGTCTCCATTCATTATTAACACATGGTTATTTCCACGATAGCAAATATAGCCAATCGTGACCAGATATCATCCTATCTTGTAGGTGACAGGAAATCACCTGATTTTATCGATCTAAGCATGGCTAAGCATTGATTCGCTCCTGTACCTAAATAGGATTCAGAATACATTTACTGGACAAGGAAGAGATAGGTATGCAACAAGTGTTTGTATACACAGGTCCAGCATGTGGACATGCATGCGCTTCAGGTGTCACTCAGCGGCATCCTTGAGATGAAGGCGACGTCGTATACACAGGTCCAGCAGATCAAGTCAGACGCGCACGGCACGCTGATGGCCGAGAACACGGTGGGCGTCTACCACGACCACTTCATCACGTACCACCTGGACCTCGACGTGGACGGCACCGACAACTCGTTCGTCAAGAACACCATGGTCCCCGAGCGCAATACCGGGGACCCCGCCACTGGCGGCGCTGACACGCCAAGGAGGAGCTACTGGACGGTGCGCCGCGAGGTGGCCGCGACGGAGGCCGACGGCCAGGTGAACGTCAATGGCCCACCGGCAGATCTGCTGTTCGTCAACCCGAGCAAGAAAACCAAGGTCGGCAACGAGGTCGGGTACCGGCTCATCCCGGCGGGGGCGACCGGCGCGTCGCTGCTGGCGGACGACGACTACCCGCAGCGCCGCGCCAGCTACACCAAGCGGCAGGTGTGGGTGACGCCCTACGATAGGTCGGAGAAGTGGGCAACGGGGCTGTACGCGGAGCAGGGCACCGGAGAGGATAGCTTGGGTGCCTGGAGCAAGAGGAACAGAGGCATCAAGGACCGGGATATCGTGCTGTGGTACACGGTGGGACTCCACCACATCCCCTACCAGGAGGACTTCCCCGTGATGCCCACGCTGAGCGGTGGCTTCCAGCTACGCCCGGCCAACTTCTTCGACAGCAATCCGTTGATTCGGACCAGGCCACCGGCTGATCACAACTACCCAAACTGCTCCTGCGGCGTCGCGTCCATGTGATAAGGCTATGAATCTAGTTATTGACGTGAGATGGGAATTTGTTTGGATTCTTTCGTTCGGAGGAATTGAAATGTACTTAATAAATTAGACTATTTTGTTTAGAATTTGACATTCCACCACTATCTAAAGTTCATATATAAGCCTATCTCAAATTAGTAGAGCGGAAGATAGAAATTGATTCTATAGATCATCATTCTATGTTTTAACTTTGCAACTTATAACACACTCTTTGACTCGACAACACATAAGTATCTATCTCGAATAGCCAATAATAATACAAATATAGTCCATATACAACCATATTAACTTAACTAAATTATGATTATTAAAATAAATTCAATTCCAAGGATCAAACGGGGCCTGAGATTTTTAACTCATGTAGGATTACAAGAATATCTTAAATGCATCACAAGCAAAACTGGCAGAGTAGAGAGTTATAGTGAGCATGGTTATTATGGTCTGGACTTGTTTGATTTAAGTTCAAAGACAAATTTGAATTATGTGCTTCAACATAATTATCGTTCATGCTTCATTAACACTTACGTAAGAAGTGATAATTGTCTACAAACATGTCGCAAAGATCAATCTCATCAAAACATCGTCTTTTGTCATTGTCTTGGTACAATACACGTGCAAAATCGAATTACTATGGTCTTGATTCTGGCTTAGCAACCAAACATCTTGTTCAATATTTTTGTTGCTCCCATTGCAACACATGGACAATCGCATAGTAATGAATTAACTCTTTAGGGCATGTACAGTGGAGTGACATCATCTGTTTAGAAAAGAGAGGTGCCACATACGAAGAGAGAGAGAGGACAGAGAAAAATGTCGTATAGTCATTAACATATTATTTGGAGCAGAAGAGGGGTATTTTATATAGCAGCACTTTTTACATTGTGGATATATTATCTATTTTTTAAGGCAAAGATATTATCTATTATATATGGTCACATCGCATATCATTTAACAATTAGATGCTATTTAGATTGCTCATAGACAAATTTATACATTAGCTTGTCTATTATATTATCTATGGCTGATATGAAATGCTTTTATAAAACAACAGTTCAGGCCCACTGTATACATGTTTAGAAAGGTTGAAATAGGAAGATAAACTCAAGGAAAATTACTCAAAAGTAGTGGAAGAGGGTTGTTGGGGAGTGCGACCATTGACAGAGACCTTACTAGCGCCCCGGACAACCAGACAAGTGCGGCCATCGTCAGTGCACAGTGCTGGCCAGGTATAGACCGCGCTGGTCCGGCCGGCCAACTTTTACCCAGAACTGAGGCACCACATCGCCAACCAGCCCAGTGACCCATCGTGATGTCCCTATTGAACTCGACGGGAAAGGGCACACAGCAACAACTCATGGAGTATCAGTCATGGGACGCGCCCACTCGGCCACTAAGCGAAAAGTCAGGAGGTCGTTTTGCCCTCTTGCGCTGGTTTGCCTCGATTCTTCCAGTGCTACGCCAATAGCAATTGTATGGGTATGGCTCTCTACTCGCTATCATTGCTGTGATCGGGTTCCATCTGTTATCTGGTTATACGGTGCTAGCATTTTCCCTCGTTCCACTAGTTACTTTCTCAGACTGGATTGGAGTGCAGAGCACTCCAGGACGCCATGATCGAACACACGATCATCAGTGTCTGACTGTCTCCGACACACATGTGCTTGGAGCAAAAAGCAGTACAAAAGTTATATATTGAGCTAGGGGTACAGCGTTTGGAATAACAGATCGCACTTCGAATGAGTACGAGATAAGGATGGACTGCTTGCAAACATTAGTTAAAGACCACAGGAGATTATATTCCATGGTTCTGACCGGATCACAAATCAAATGAGATTATCAAAGTCAAAGGAGGCGTGGCATATATTATTCTATCTAGATGATAGGGAAGCTACAAACATATATGTACTACCTTGGAATAAGGCATTGTTTAATTTTTCGTCCTAAAGTTTACTCCTTATTACATCGAATGTTTACACATATATAGGAAGTATCAAATATAGACTAAAAAATAACTAATTACACAGTTTACGACTAATTTGCGAGATGAATTTTTTAAGCATAATTATTCCATGCTTTGACAACGTGGTGCTACAGTAACACATGTGCTAATGATGGATTAATTAGTCTTAATAAATTCGTCTCGCGGATTACTGACGGATTCTGTAATTTATTTTTTTAAGTATCCGAACACCCTATGCGACGCCCACATGTGACACCCAACCAAAACTTTACACCATAAATTTAAACAAGGCCTAACAACGATGGAATAACAATGATCAGTGAAGAACGCTCGGGCACACGCCTGTTTAATAAGTATTTTCAGATCAATCATCAATACTTCAGTAGCAAAAAGAACAAGCCAGATTACGTACTGTCATGCAGTGATCTGTCAAATACGTACGTAGCTATTGTCGAGTTCGAGTCAATCAGTAACAATGATGAAAAATAAATAAACTCGAGAAACCTGCCATTGATCCGACAGTAATTTGTCTCTTTCTATCTGTGAACAAACTACTGTGGCCAGAGTTACTGGTTCCTCTTGGATTTATCAGGGGGGAACCAGTAGTGGTCTTGTTTATCATGCATGCATCACCATCTATTTATCGTCACTAAGGTAGTGGGAGAGGTTGACAAGGAACACCATGATCGTAAACCATGCCAACTGGCTTTCAAATCCACCCATCCATCCATAGAAAAAATTGAAGTTTGTGCTATCATCTCGGCTGCGATAGAACTCTATTCAGAGAAGAGCAGTTGGTGCAAAACAGAAGATCAGATGATGCATGGCTCTGGCTCGCTAGCATTTTTATTCAACGATCGATCGCTATTTGTCCACGGCATATGCAGGGCCATAACCGTGCATATGCGTGCGCAACGTTGCTTCCTCTGTAAGTGTCGGTGCAGAAAGTGATCAACATATAAATATTTATAGTTTTGTTGTACGTTGTGATCGGATGTGGCCTCGCACTCAATGACACAGGGTTTATACTGGTTCAGACAACGTGCCATACGTCCAGTTTGAGTCGGTCGGTGACTTTATTCCTGAGTCCAGGTGCTCGAAGTTTGCAGTGGGGTTACAAACGAGAAGGAGAAAGATGAGGGTACAAGAGGTCCGGTCGGACTCTGGTCAGAGGGACCGAGAGTGACGGGAACTCCGCTATGCGCTATGTGTTCGAGCGTGTGCTCAAGGTTTGAACCTGGTGGTTCTGTTGTTGGGTACTAGTGAACTTGATCGATCTGAATCAACTTATCTGTTGGAAGAGAGCGCACCCCCTTTTATAGATGAAAGGGATGGCCTTATAAGAGAGAGAGAGTACGTTCGCTGCTAAGTCTTACTGCCCACGTCGGCGGGTATAAGATGATGGTATGCTCCCACAATATTGTTGAATGTCAGATGCACGTGGAAGGTTGCGTCGTCTTCTTCAGGTATGGCAGATGTCGGTACCTGTTATACTGTTGATGTTGAGAGGCATGCAGGGAGTTTTACCATGTTCGCCTGTCACGGTAAATTCCGACGCCCACAACACTGTCGATACCTCAGAGGCACGTGGGGGAGTCTTACCGTATTTGTCTGGTATGGGAGTTAATGGCGCCCACAACACTGTAGGGGAATATGTCGGCGCCTACAACACTGCTTGTGTTCTGTCATGGCAGGGAGGTCGCAGATACTGTCTTGCAGGTGTACAGGGTACGATCATTGGTATTGCGGTTGACTTGAGTGCGCTGCCTTACTTTCTTCGTTCGTTTCCTGGTCCTTACCGAGCGGGCGTCCCCGGTCGGTTGGTCCCAGTCGGCTCTGATTGCGCCAGTTCGAGAGAAGTTGTAACTAGGGGTTCGGCGCATCCCCCGTCGGAGAAGTGGGTTGGAGTCGGAAGTGGTGTTTGGCCAGGCCATCCGGTCGGAGAGGCCGTCCGGAGGCGGTCTGTAGACCGAAGCGAGCGCTCCAGTCGGAGAGGTGGACCGGAGTCGGAAGCAGGCGTCGTTCCTCCTCGGCCAGGCCTTCCGATCGAAGATTGGATCGTCCTTCTGGTCTGTCGTCTAGGAATTTGGGTCGGCCCATGAGTTACGCGTTGCTCGCAACGTCATCTGTTGGGCCGAGCTTTTGTTGGGAAACCGGTCCACAAAGAATTCCGGGTTTATGAACCCGACACTAGAGCATGGCCTTCGCCCCAGCAGCAACAGGGAGTTTGCCCCACATCCATTCCAAGCACATATTCCCGGCCCGGCAGCTCACGCAATTCATCTTATCACGGCACATACAGATATATAGATTCATATAATTAGTACCTAGATGCTCATTTAGCTGCAGGCGCCATGATTGGGGTGAGCATTGCCAGTTATTATAAGTCTCTGATCATGGTGCTACTAGCGCTCCTCGTCCGCGTCAGCCTGGCTGCCTCGCCGGCGACGGCCGCGGCCGGCCGGGCAGAGGAGGTGCACCTGGTGCCCGCGTTGTACGTGTTCGGCGACTCGACCGTGGACGTGGGCAACAACCAGTACCTGCCGGGGAACTCCGCGCTGCAGCTCCCCTACGGCATCGACTTCCCGCACTCTCGGCCCACCGGACGGTTCAGCAACGGCTACAACGTCGCCGACTTCGTCGGTCAGTGAATGCACGTTAATTTCACACGAACTGGCTGCCATTGTTTTCTTTGCAACCATGCATGAAACTGACAGATTTGCAAACAAAAATTCAGCGAAACTGTTGGGTTTCAAGAGGAGCCCGCCGGCTTACCTGTCCCTGACGCCGAGAACGAGCCGTCAGATCTTGAGAGGCCTCCGCGGCGTCAACTACGCGTCCGGAAGGTCCGGCATCCTCGACACCACGGTAAGTAGCAGTACACCAGATTTGGTCGTGAGTCGTTCTTGATCATTCGGTCATTACTTATCTTGATCGTTTGTAACGTACACGTATGTCGACGGACCAGGGGAACACCATCACGTTGACGAAGCAAATCGAGTACTTCGCGGCCACCAAGTCC